CTAATTTTTTCTCATCAGCATGGCTTTTAACACATAATATTTACTACCTCTTTAGATTAAAGGCTCCTGGACAGCCATTCATAGCATTTGACCCTGGCATGACCCGGGAGACTTTGGCATATCATGGTTGTGCTGAACTCTTCCAGGTATTTGCTTTGAACTATTCATAGCATTTGACCCTGGACTGCATGATATATTATTCTTTTGGAACTCTTTCATAGCGTTTGATTTTCATATGTTTGTCTTCCCAAGGATGTACACACGGAACTCATTCAACACAAAAGGCAATGGATGAGAAAACGTGGAATTGTCAAGGGAAAGCTTTCGGTGAATTCTGCAAAACAACGCCTTAAAGGTTCTTGCCCCCTAATGCCAGAAGAGGTAAGATACAATATGGCTACAAAACAAAAATAATGGTCACAATGGAGATGAAGTGAATATTATAAAGTTAGTTGTAATATATACTGCCAGTCTATTTAGCATAGAATTAACTCGCCAAAAATATCGTCTACATCGTTTAATAAGAAATGACTTCTTATTGAACCTTTTGTCTATATTACTTGGATCTGTACAGATTGGTATTATTCTTCGTGCATATGGGTACTTGTGGGACACAATAATATATGTTTCGGGGGGAGAAATCTTTGGTGGCCAAAGGACGTTGATCCCTCTTCGTGCAATGTTTGAAAATGTCGTTGATAGGACTTCCCTCAGCATGCCTTGGGAGCTTAGTAGGATGTATGGTCGTGAAGCTAACCTAGTCGATCGCAATCCCGGGAGTCCACCAATGATTGAGGAAGAGATGAAAATTGAAGCATGGAAAAATGCAGGTCCTCGTCCTCGCCCACTTCCACCACCCCCGGCCAGGCCCAAATCCTATAACATTGAAGGTTGGTGGGGTTGGGTAGCGGAGAGTGATAACGAGCCTGATAGTACAGTTATTGAATTGAGGACCAATGCTCATAAACTTCTGTGGGAAGCAATTGATTATGTGATATGCGTTGAAGCTGATGTGTTTATCCCTGGATTTGATTTTGATGGTAAGGGACACCCAAATTTTGCGAGCTTGGTAATGGGACAGCGACTCTATCAATCAGCTGATTCAAAGACATACAGACCAGACAGGTACGCAGCTTATCTAGACATACGCGTTTGCTCATTTGCATGATTAATAAATGGAGGGTCTTTCACTGTTTGTTGTTATTTTATGACATAAACTATGCATGTAAAATTTTCTCGTAGCGGGATCAGGATGTGAGATTTGAAACATTTGAGCTGTTAGATTAAATGCATTGTAGTTTATTTTTCATTTTTCTTTCAAAGCTTGATGTGTTTATGGACACATACTGACAAGCGGCTAGTGAGCACAATTTGGTCAATACACAGCTCTTTGTGATCATTAACCGCAAACTAAAAGTACTATGTGTATCTAAATATTGAGAAATTGCTATATTCGGTTGCTCCCTTGATGACGAATGTCTCTGTTTTCTCAAAAATTCATTGTGTTTTTCCGAATGTAGAAAAGAAGTCGCCAAGCTTTTAGATGAAATTCATGACCACCTATACCACGCAAACCATACTTGGCTGATGTCAGTACGCAAGCATTTGAGAAAGAGATTAGTTGATGGATTAATAGAAGCTTCCGCAAGATCAAAGCCGCTGTCTTTTATTTCTCATCCAATCCCGGAATGTTCTTGCTTAAGGCAAGATCCTGCTGGAAAATCAATCAATGCCACGTCATCACCTCATGCTTCAACTCCTAGTCATTCTCAAGTTCTTTCTGCTCTTGGAGTCGTGCACTATTGCCCTGCTTGGATGGAGAATGACTTGACATTGCAGTCGAAATCAAAAGACAAGGAAAATGAAGAAACTCTAGATGAAGACGACTCCACCTCATCGGGGTTGTTCTTCCGTAAAAATAATGGAGATCATGATGGTGGTAATGGAGACATAAGCAACAAAGAAGAAACTCAGTTGGAGGATCAAGAAGAGCTCGAGGGTGGAGAAAGGTAGCGGGCTGATTGAGTCGCATCAATGGTCTGCAGTTCTGTACATAAAATATATCTTCATTAGTATGATCCAAGCAAGTTTGGAATCATCTCCGACTCCAGTTTCAAACGGAAAATGCAAGTTTTCTAACTGGGGTTCAAGAACACGAGTGACCGCGCTAATTTGGCCGTCTTTGAAGCTCTCACTCAACTCTATTGGATTGTTTAAGCCTCTTTTAGGTAAAATATAGTCATTATTTAACCACCCAGCCAATTTTGATGTAAGCTGATAAGTTCTGCATGAAATTCCAGCTTTAGTTTTTGTCTCTTTCAGGAAATCTCTAATGTTTCTATAAGATTTTTTACTCTGCTTCAAACTGATACAAATATTGAAGTTTGTCCAGAGCAGAAGCGGAAATGTCTTTCTTAGACTTGAATTAATTCTTAGGAAAACTAATGAAAATGGCTTGAAAACTTTGAGTTTTAACGATAAGAATAAATAAAGGGTAAAGTGAATAGTATCAAAATTGACTTTTTAATGTAAAAATATGGTTTTTTTATTAAAGTGAACAGTACCAGGAGTTTTTCGTTAAAGTTCTTTTCCCATATCTTTGTCAGAAAGTGTTCACCACTACTTACTCTACTCGTTCAAGAGAAAAAACTTGTGTAGGGACAACCAGGTGAAATCAATGTGTAGTTGAGTGAGATTAAAATACAAAAGATCTTATGTTCTTACACGAGCTAGGTTGCATGGACACTCTGAAACTCCAAAGTATCAAGAGTGTCGGACACCCTGACATGCCAACACACCCCTTTGGACACGGCATGAGCTTTTTGGTAAATTTCAAAAAACATTGTGAGGCAGTTTTGTAAATATCAAAACTGTTGGATTCCATTCCATATTTTGGTTAAAGTTTGTGTATATTGAATTTTTGATTGACTATTGTCTATTGCAAAAAGGTAGAGGTTGATTAATTTGATTGGGTGTGAATAATTTGAATTAGATGTTGATTGGATGTGTAATGTTTTTAATAAATGTAATATTCATTATAAATTTATTATATTTTATCGTTATGTTCTTTTCTTTATTTTTTTAAATTTACGATGTCATCATATCTGCATGTCGTATGTTGTCATATTCGTGTCCGCAACACAGTACCGGAGTTCTTTACCTCGTTCAGATATGAATTCCACGTATTGGTCAAATTTTTTTCATGGTCAAAGTTGACGTGGGGCCTCAGAAAGATGCATAAGTGGGGTTTAAAGCTCATGTTGGTTAATCTTTGTTTGCCTCTCAAGAAAATCTGTGGGTTCCCAGAACGTGCTCAGAAATATGGGAGAGACATGGGTCAAAACTTGAGCTCCAAGAATACTAAGCTATATATAAGCAAAGATAGAAGTCCAAGTAGCAGCAAAAAAACCAGGAAAAACAACAATCTCATCAGCTCCTTGCCTTCCTTGTTGAATACTATTCATTTGCTTCTACTTCTCCAATTTGAAAGCCTCTTTTCAAACCAAGTTAAGATCAGAATCATGAGTAAGAATACCGCGAGTTGGTTCATGTCCTTGTTGGGGTTGTTGTCCGGTTGCTTCCGTGGAGAGACGAGCGTTCGAGGAGTGAAAGGCAGGAGGATGGACCGGAGGCGTGGAATGTAGCCGCTGCTAAGCACTTTTCATCTGCCCCGAAAGTAAGAATGGGCTAGTTTGGACTTGAACTTGTGGCATGCCAAAGACTCAACCATATGAATCTCAACCTGTTACAAACATTGCCAAGGAAGAAGGGTACTATGGATCTCTCACTTGAAGCCTAAGAGATCTTTTGGAAGTTAATTGTTATGTGAAGGGATAACAACACACTTTTTTTTCATCTTACACACTCATTTTTACTTCTGGTCATCTAATTAAATAGATCAAACAGAAGCAAATGGGCAAGATTAAACAAGGGTGTGTAAGGAGAGAAAAAAGGTGTGTGGCTATTATTTCCCGTTATTATGATCCAATGTTGGAGGAATTATGTAAAACATGTAATAAGCCGCACTATTGATGTAGGAAGAATAAAACTAATGTAAAATATTATCTCAAATGATCACCTTTTAGTTATATGAAAACATGGTAAAGTAGTTGAAGCTCTTTTGGTTAATAACATTCATTTTAGTACTCGAATAGTCATTCTCCACTCCCCCTTCCCAACATCACTTGTATCATTAAAAAAAATCGCGTGCTTAACTACAATGAGCATTCAAAATTCAAGACATTATTTGGTCAAAAATATGGGTTATGTTGGCTAGTCAGGATAGTCTTTCTGCTTCATTGCATCGATGCCTCTTGCACTCGAATTCGATTCACTTTCTCGTAAATTGGAATAGATGGTCAAGTTCGTAGTGAACCATGGGCTAATAAAGCCGAGTCCAAGCCCAATCACTATGGTGTAAATATTCAACGGTTTTAGATTTGTCTAAAAGCGTTTCTAAAAAACACTATTGCTTCATGTAAAAAACGAAGCATTTACTTTCTTATAAAATCTAAAAATATTTTTTTAATAATATTTTCAGTCATTTGAATACAATTACAAACACATTATCACGCGTGCAACATAAAACAAATTAGGACCAATTAGGCGTGGTGGCGGGCGGGTCACATTATAAATAGTGGCGGCCACTATGAGAATGAATTTAATGAATAAATTAATATTAATTGTCAGAATAATTATGATTAAAACATTTAATAATTTAATTAATAATAAGGTCTCTTTTAAAAAAAATTAGTGATTTAGGAATATAAACAGTGGGAGCCCGCCACCTACGGCTCCAAATTTCGGAAAGGAATCGTTTTCGGATCCCTTTTATCAAATTCATCTAATTATCTAATTTGGATTCTTAAAATTTGATTTAATTGTTAAAATTATTATAATTTTTAAAGATGTTTCTTATTTATAACCGTTTGATCAAATTTCAAATATTCGATTAATTGATTGGATGAATTTGATGGAAGGGATTCTGATCCCCAAATTTCCATGGTTGTCTTAACTGTAACGTTTAAAACCCCAAAACGACAACGCATCAACACAAAACAGCACAAAAGGCTCCACCAACACCAGACCCTTTTTCCGCTATTTCCAGCTCTGTCGGACCCAATTCGGGCGCCCACCTTGGTCCCGGACCTCCGCATTTCCACCATCGCCACCGCCACCTCTCACTCTCTCACTGCGCCCTCCTCCGAGTCCTCAGTACTCTCTCTCTCCGTAAAATTGGCTTCGTTTTTTGTTTATTTATTTATTTATGTAATTTTTGGAAATTTATTTATTATTTGGCAGCCGGAGATGGCGAAGGCTTCCAAGGGCCACCACGATGAATTTGAAGACGACGATGAGGTGTCTCATGGAGGTTTCTCTCTCTCTCTCTCTCTCTCTCTCTATGAGCTAGGCTAGTAGTGACTGACTTGGCTTTTATTTTATTTTTGAAAAAAATGAAGAACTTTTATTTTATTGAAAAAATAATAGTAATTGGGGAGTGGATGAAGCTAACGAGGAGTTGATAGGGGAATTTGCAGTGAAGGTAGAAGGGCAAGGCAGGGAGAAGAACCGCTCCAAGCATTCCGAAACCGAGCAGCGTAGGAGGAGCAAGATTAATGAGAGGCAAGCTCTCCAAGCTCAAAGCTTTACCCTTTTTTTTTTTATTCAAACACTCCTTTAATTGTTCCTTTTCAATTTTGGTTTATAGTATTCGATTTTCCATGTTGCCTGAACTCGAAAAATTTCTGATTCGAATAAGCAGAGGGAAATTGCCACAATGTATGTATCTTCTGGAAATGTTTGAGAGTACAATTCTGTTGATGTTATACTCAAATTATGAGTTGTTGAATTAAAGTGAAGTGAATTTGTTTTCTTCAAAATAGAAACTTTACGATTACCAAATTCTTCAAAATGTTGGAGCTTCTAGGCAAACAATTTCCATGCCCCTTTGGCTATCTGAAACTGAATTTGTGAATTATTCATGCGAGTTTGCAAATTTGAGTATCGAGTACCAAGTGCTTATTCATTTTGTGTTGAATTTTACTTGTAGTCTTCCCTTCCTTCTTGTTGTCATATTCGGTTAGATTGTTAGTCATGTGGAAGTTTTGTCCTTTAAATACTTTTGTATCTTTCTTTGCTGCTGTTTATGCCATGCGGGTGTTTTTGTTCTAGTAGCATGGGCATAAACTCTTCACTCACCTGGGCAATATGTATTTCTGAGGCAGATTTCAGATGTTGAGAGATATCATTCCCCAAAATGATCAGAAAAGAGATAAGGCTTCATTGTTGTTGGAGGTAAGCATTCCAATCATGTTCTTAATATTTTATCCTCATTGTCATTTTATTTTAGTTGAATGTGTTCAGCACCATGTTGAAATATTACTGTATCTATTTGCAGGTTATAGAGTATATACAATTTTTACAGGAGAAGGTAAATTTGTACGAGGGGTCGTACCAAGGATGGAGTCCAGAGCCGACAAAACTGGTGCCATGGGTAAAATTCTAATGCTTCATATCTGTGTCTTTGTGGGCGGTAGTGTTTGCTTGCATGTGTTATGGTGTTGGACTCATAACTCTTTATCACTTTTGTATTGCATTGTCAATTTCTATTGGTTTTACTTCGATGCCTGAAAAAAGTGAAAGTACTTGTTTTGGACGCTAGAGGGCATGAGTACGTGCATTGGATATCTTTCGTACCCTTAAATAATGATGTATATGGTGCATGAGACCAACACCACACACAACAATTGCAACATGCACCCAAAGCCAGGCAGAGAGGCTCTTTTACTGTTAATGGGAGAACAAAATCTTACCAGAGATAACTCCGACCCTATATATTTTTGGGCTTATTTAGGAATTTTGAAGGTTACTTCTGACTTTAAGAAATAGCATGGGTAGCAACTGTCACAGTGTCACCAAATATATATGGATTTGCCAAGTGTATGCATTAACTGCCCTGCAGAGACTTACTGACCTCCCATTTATTTGTTTGCCACAGAAAAGTCATAACAGGTCTGGAGAAAATTTTGCAGATCAGTCTCAAGTTATGAACGATGGTTCGGGTCATGAGAATAATGTGGTTGTCTCACCAGCAATGATTCCAAACTCTCAAAATTCAGTGGAATCTAACTTGGGCTCTGCTGTTGCTTACAAAGCACTGGATCACATCGCTGGGCTAGCTACTCAATCAGTTCCTAATGTGCAACAACAAAGCATCTTTGACTCTGTTGGGAGTGGAGTACCCACACAGCCCTTGCAGGAATCTATTACTGATGCTCAGAACATGGCTTGTCGACCCCAATTCCCATCGTGGGCGGGTATAACATCTTCAACCGTATCAGATGGTAAACTGAACAAACATGATGAACATAGTGGATCTGGTAGCATCTCAAGTGCTTACTCTCAAGGGTGAGTTCCCACGAAGATCTCTCGTTAACTTTATTGTACAGCTGCCAAGTTTTTGTTAACATGCTTACCAGCCATGTTTTATTGTCAAGCTTGTTTTCTGAGCTGTTGTCTTCGATTCAGTGGTTTTAATAAACTACATGCATGCTGCATAGCCATTATTGATAAATTATGCACATATTGTCGTTGTAAGTTTCCCCGATTGTTTTCTATGGCAAGCTTGCTTTTTCTAGGTAGATATTTTATAAATTTGAAAGTGTTGCCATTAGAGACATGAAAATATAGTTGATTGGCATATAACGAAATTGCTATAACAAATTTCCTTATGGAAATGTATCACCGCGCTGTTTCTGAGTTGGGTTTGTGTTGCGCAGGGTTTTGAACAATCTGACGCAGGCACTGCAATCTGCTGGTCTGGACTTGTCCCTGGCCAGTATCTCTGTTCAAATGGATGTTGTGAATCGAGCAGACAGTGGGCTGACATCTGTAGCATCTAGTTCGAAGGTTCGTTTAGGATCTTCATCCGTCATATTAAACCCCATTGTTACTTTGGCTGCTACATCTGTTACCGATAGGTATTTACAATCTTTCCCTCACTTTATATTTGTTTGCACAGGCACATGTGAACCAATCCATGAACAATCAAATGATGACACAGGCTCAAGTAAGTAGCTGTGATGGGGGACTTGAACTGGCGCATAAGCGGTTCAGAACAAGAGAAAGCTAGACTAGATAGTTTATAGCTTTTCTTAAATCTTCTTATTTTTGGTTTTCGTGGTTTTATTGGGGGTGAGGGTACTCGGGCGGGTGACATTTTGTTTCAAAAATTACATGGTCAACAGAACAACTAGGTTCAGGTCAGTCATTTGTATATGGTTTGTGCCCCCCTGTGCATGGAGTTTCATAGGTAGATATGTCAGATGTTTTGTTGATACCTTGAAGTTTCAGATGGATGATTCCATGCATATAGCGAGGAGCGTGTTTCTGTTCTAGTCTGTGTTTTAAAGAACTCTTTACATATATGAATTTTATCGTTAATCCTTGATGTTTCGTTGATTTGATTGTGTGATGCCGCTCGTTTACCATATCTTGGTCGGTTTAAGAAAGGGTGAAAGTGCTTTCTGGTAAACCGGAAGCCATTCTCATGCCTGGAAGCCATTTTGTGAGGGTTTGAAAGAAAAACTTAAAAGACTATCAAAACACTTGGGTTTTTAATAAAAGTTGTGTTGTACTTGCTTCTAACAAAAGCCCGTTTGAAATGCAAAGGAACCACTTCAAAAATATTTTCACAAGAAACACAGATTAATTAAATAAATTTGATATATTTATGAACTTGTTTGGAAGTGTTTTTGGTGAAATATTTTTTGAACCAATTCTTAGTAAAAATACAAATAAATCTTAGAAAAACACTTGAATTGCTTCCTGCAAGAACCACATAATTAGTGCTGCAAGCAGAAAGCATTTCAAATGCTTTTGGAACTCAAAATAATTTTCTCTAAAACCCCTTTCTGTCATACAAAAGTATTAATCTGATTGAAATTTTATTTTATTTGACTACAATACTTACATGTATTCAATAAAATCATATTCTCAACGGTATGTATATTGACACAAATTATATTTGACCGTCAAATAATGATTGTATTAAATACATATAAATATTCTACATGTTTTTGAAATTTTCTATCTCCAATCCCCAATACTCAAAATTAGTTAATTAAATCTGCAACCTAATCAATAGGTGAAGTAATCAAAGAGTGGATTCATGTGACAAATGGTTCCTTGTAGTTTAAATGGGTCCATAAACCATTGATGAGTTGAACGACTTTAAAGTTTGAGTCGTTTTTTGTCGTTGGAAGTGGTTGTGTCTGTGTGCATTGAAAGCTACGTTTAAATTAAAGTACATGAATTACTCCCTTGTTAGTGGGAAGACCACAAGTAGAAAAACAACGCCAAGTTTTCTTGGATCACTCATTGCAACCAACATTGTTTCTTTATTCTTCACTTTTTCTCTCTAAATCCAAATTAAAGAAGACTTTAGAATAGACTGGATCATACCATATACTGAGATTCATAATCGTTAATTCTTAGTTACGAATTCAACGACTAAACATCCAACAATCTTTGATCTCGGTTCATGCTATGAGGCAGTTCTGACTAAAACCCCCAAAACGATGTTTTAAAAAAAACATTTGTAAAGAGAAAACTTACACTGAGATGCTTTGTAATAATATTTCAAGCTAATTATGCACTCTCATGTTTTTGACAGTATCGTAAGACAATCATTCGGTATCATGTTTTAACTAGTCTATAATTATCTTAAGATACAGCTACAATGACGTTCCGTTACATAAAAGTTATTCATATTTGTTTATATGATAGAAGCATGGAGTTGGTGCACTCTAACTTCTACAATAATGAATATATTTTATTTGATGGCAACTAAACAACCAAATGCATAACCGAAAAACTAGACAATGAAGGAGGAAACAAGGTTCGGTGCCAACTCCTTAACTAATTAGTAATTAAAGACATGAAATGATGCGGATTATTTGCCCAAACCCCACACCTTAAATATCAGCTTTCCAGATGCCATGCTGCTGTATTCATTTGAGACTTTAGGCCCCACCAATCTTACTTGTTTAGGCATGCCTAATTCATCAAGAGCCAAAGGTTGCTCAAATTCTTCAGCTCAATGCCGTTTATTATTGAGAATCCGACCAGAAGGTTTAAAGTTACGAGCTTACAACAAATATTTAAAAGATTTAAATATATAGGATTCTAAATTTGATTGAGTTAACAAAGAATTTTGAGGCTCTATAAGATTAATTTAAATGATGCCGAATCTTTCTCGAAACTAAATATTCGATTAGAGAGATTTCCAATTTATCCATCACCTCTAGAATTGAATATTAGTAGATGTTACAAAAATTGCAGCGATTAAGTTTTTGGATAAAAAGTATTAACATGCTATTACTTCATTAATGGGGTTGAGTAGAATTTTATGAATACGGAACTGAAATAATTCTTAATTTTTCTGTTAAACTTATTGGGAAATTTTTAAATTAGAGTTCTTCCTGCGCCAATTAAAACACCCTCTATTTTGATCGAAAACTATCTTCTAAGTTTCATCCCACAAATTTGAGTTCAAAGAAGCCTCTTACTTCCAGTTGGAAGATTTTAAAAATTATGTTTTACGCTCACACTCTAATGGTAAATCAGATGCCTCGAAATATGTTGGGTTTCTTCTCCCTCCAGAATTGCATTCTAAGTAATATTTCCAATACACTTAATTATTTAAGGGATGAACTCTACAAAATTCCCCTTGCTCAATATAAGATTTTTGATAGACCTAACTCCAATTCAATTGAAAACATAGCCAGTTCTTCCCGCTATAAAATAAAATCTCATTTCTCAATGCCTTCAACATTTGCATATAAACCTTTGTATGAAGAACTAAAAAACAAGCACCTCTAGTTTTGTGTAGAGCCTCCCTTAAAAGCCATTGGTCAGAATTCAGGTGTGATTCATTATGGGAATTTTTCAACGTGTTTAACAGATTTGACCAAGATTTTTATCAAAGCAGGCTACACCAATCTCAATGCTTGTGCCATTTGAGACTTAGATGGTAAATTGATATTTCCTTCTCTTGGTTTACCTAGGACTTATTAAAGCTTCCATCGCTCCAATTGCGCTGGCTCTTCCCATTTCGGTATTCATGGGCGTGAGCTTCCTTCACAATGTAGGAGAACTCAGTCCCAGCTTCACATGAGCCATGTCAGTGCTGTGAATTGAATTCTATTAATCCAAATAAAGCATATGCCTTCTGTTCTCCATAATTCTGTAACTAAATGTCTTTTTCAAAAACCTAAGTCATCTGAAACAAGAAAAAAAATCCGAGGAGAAACGTATGTCTCATCTCAGAAATGTCATCCTATCTGTGAATTTGATAACAACAGATCTTTACCTTATCTTCCTAAAAACCCAGATCAGAGCACTAGTTGTTTGACGATTGTTCTGAGGATACAGTGCTTGATAATCTACGGAGATGGGGATTTGAAAAAAGCACTTCAGGTTAAACGTATGGTCAATCAGATTGAACATGCATTACATTTCTGCGATAGCCTTTGGACAACTTTAAGCCATGTTTCATCATTTTTAAGAATGTAGGATATAAATATGTCACTCTCTAGGGAGACTAGATAGTCCAATCATCTGCCCATTTTGGAAGAGTTTGTTCGGGTAGAACCTCGGGAAATCACCGAGAGAAGGCTCCAGCAGAGCGCGTCTCTTTTTCTGACCTGTTGCACAAAAGTTCAACTGTTATGTCAGTCCTATGATGTATAATTGTTGAAAAAGGTGGCTTCTTTGCTTCTTCTCATTCGCTTACTACTTACCCAAATTCGGAAAGCAGCTTTCAAACCTTCCATCCTTCTGTTTCCACCATACATTTCTCCAGCGGCAATATAAAAAATCTGGACATTGTGATCAACACCGAGTGCAACCAATACTAGAGCAGTTTCCTCTGGTGTTAGTGGGCACAAACCTTCTAGCCTCTTTGTTTCAGAATTTATGTCTTTTATCTTCCACAAGGGATTAGCATATCTAACAACGTGTAATAATCCCATAATTAGAAGATGTTTATAAGCGAAAAACTAGTAAATATCGATGTGCGAAAAGAAACAAAATGAAAAAGGACTATTACCTCATTCTTGTGAGTTCTTCTACCTCATCATTGCTGCACCCATGACTGCAGCCAGAGAATGCCAACATATCCATTTCGTATCGGAGATGAAGAGCCAGAAAAGGGCCTTTTTCTCTCAAAATTCCGACAAGCTTTCTACCGACTTCCTCTATCTGGGAAGTGAATCTCAGAGCATGGAAATTAACTCTGCAGCGCAGCTTCTGGAACTCCAGAGGTAGCCCATTGTTAGCTACTCGAGCATCGGTTTTATTCAAATGTACTACTTTATACTTCTGCACCAGGGGCAGGATCTGTTGGATTAACACTTCCAGAAGTTAGTTCAACTGCTGAGAATGATCATATAAACTGAAAAGGAAAGAGAATGATGCTCGGATTCGAACCAACCTGATGAAGGTAGTAGGACATATTAGACCAACTAACTGGTGGCAACGAGTATGCAGGTCTTTTCTTCAGCTTTGGTGGCAATATCCTCAATATCCGAACCTCGTCTCTCAACGATGCAATGAAATGATCAACATCGAAAACGTCCTGAAACTCACTGCCAACACAAGGGGACATGCTTAGAACTGAGAATTTTCCTTATTCAGATTAAGGAATTTACAATGAGAACATCGATTCCTCATAATTTTACTCGAAAACAAATTGACCTACCTCGCAGCCCAAAAGGAGTTTTTATCCAGCTCAGGAACTATAAGGGTGACATTCAAGTATCTGGCAACTGCAACCATATCACAGATCTGCGTAAAATCGAGCAGTGAGTAAAATAACATGGTGGTGGGAGACAACCCCAATAAAACATCAAAACTGAAGGTAAGAATGTCCAGAATTGTGATGAAGTGGCTAGAACTCACTGCCGCTCGCATTTGATTCAGTCCTCCATTGCAAGAAACCATGAGATAGCCATTATTTTTGTAAACCCCTGGAATTAAAGTGATTCAGAACTAACAAACAATATTGAAAAATCTCAAATTTTATTGAACCAAGCAAATTAGCATGCACAGCAGCTGATTAAAATGATACCAAAGAATGACAATTCGAACTCCCTCAAACATCAGCTCTCTAAGGGGAAACAATTTCCGCGCACATTTTTTCTCGCCCCGCACAACCTGTTTACTTCTTATCTTTGGATTGAATGAATCAAAGGAGAAATAAACATGTGTGCGCGGAAATATTAACTACAAAAGCGATCAAGATCTACATAAACAAGATCAGAAACTTACTTTTTGGAGGGAGAGCAATTGGCATTGGAGGCTTATTAGTCAATTCTACAGCATGAGCAGGCAATTCCAAGTGAGTGCAAGGAGGCCAAACATTGAACAAACTAGGCCCCCTAATCAACCAAATCCCAACCAGCTGCACCGCCGACGCCCACACCAACGCCGTCACGATCGCCCGGATGATCAGCAGCCATGAGTTCACCTTCAACACTGAGCTTTTCAACCTTTCAACTCTCCCCATCAACTTAAATCCCACCTTCATTGTTTCTCTGTACTCACACTTCTCAAAGTCCTCACCTTTGCACATTTTAACGGTCTAAAAAACTCGTGCAATTTTTCAACTGATCATTCAACCAGTCAAGCACCAGAGTTGTTGCAATTCAACACAGAATCTTTCACAGATAAATGTCAATGGAAGATCCAATAGTTATTGACATATCCGAAACACCTCGAAATAATTATAAAAAAAAAAAAAAAAAAAAGAAGATTAAAACTTTCTTGTTTCTGTGTTTCTGGTGAAGTCCGGCACTAAAATAATCAAAACCCAACTCTCAGATTTTTACTTCGAACCACCCCAAAAACCCTATTCACCCCGTACAGCTATGAAGTTTCCGCCATTGTTGAAAAGCTTCACCAATCAAAACCCAGAAAGGAAAAACCGTAAAATTCTCGAAAGAGTTCAAAGAATGCAACTTTATGATCAATCTCCACAAACCCAATACTCACTTCGTGTTGCTCTTTGCTTTTCCGGTGATATTTCGGCCAAGAATCCGGCGAGGGCCGCCGGAAATTATGAAGAATGTGGGTGTCGGAAAGAGAGTCGTAGAAGGTTCAATGAGAAACTGAAACAGAAAAAAAGGCAACAATCGAGGCTGGAGAGAAAGCGTTCATAGCAGACAAAGCAAAAGTAGAACACTAAATGGAAATATAATTCTGCTCAGCTTTTTATCCCCATTGCATTTATTTATTTGCTGTATTTATTTACATAATTATGATTTATTTGAAAGACTGAGACTACAATCTTTTATTTTTATTTTTTTAGATTGTAGTAGTTGGTTGGGAAGTGGATTTTATAACCAGAATCTAGTTACAAGTCATCTTATTTTGTTTCATTTTTTGCGCTAAAATTAATGGATAATCTACTCACTTGCAGACTTGCAGTTGTATTGCCGTATGACCAAAGTAATTTGGGTGTTTTTTTTGTTTTTTTCAAAACAAAATTAAATAGTTTCTAGTGGTACACATCTTTTAAGTGTGAGTGAGAATTCTTAGAATTGACTATTATGGATAAATAGTTCAGCGCTAAATTATTATATCTTGTCTATTGTGTGATTTAGTCGAAAATTTCTCATATTTTAGCGTTAAAAATATATTTATATCAAAAAATAAAAACTTTTTTTTTATCCCTAGTTAATTTAGAGAAAACCAACTTTATGTCAGAGCTCATACATTCAATGACACTCAAAAAACATCTATCCGTAATTTGGTTGGGTTAGGTAGGTGTAGTTTCCATTGTCGTAAAATGGATGCATTGAGGATATATCCTTTTTGCTCTTTCTTTCATTTCATTGGTTTTTTGACATTTAACTCACAAGAGCTTTTCCGTACACATTAGCAACTGCTAAGTAAGAAATCTACCCGGTTTGGGATTGTTTAAATTATTTTAAAAGCAGTTTATAAAAAAAGTCTGGGATATCAAATGTGTTTGGTTTAAAAAAAAGTTTTTTTTTTTATCTGCTGTCAATTACAGCATAAAAACATAGAAAAGCAGAAGCAAAACTTTTCATGCTTTTCAAAATAGTTTTTTTTCTTTCAAAGGGATGATGCTCTTTAAAAATTTTCAAATGACAAGCATACTCCTGCATATTTTACAAAATTACAACTTCTGCCCTACTTTACTCTATTCGGCGTTTTCGTTTAATTTCACATCCAACATCATACTCATTTTAGTAATTTAACATAGTCACAACAGTTTTATATAAAAACTCATCAAACACTCCAACACTGCTTTATTTTACAATTATTTAGGCTCATAGTACAGCAGAAGTATTCTTTTACAGTAATACCAAACAAGACTTAAAGGGAAACTCAACTACATACCATAACCATATGGCTTCATGGAAACATATTCAAAGACAATTATTGTGAGTTAAAAGGTACAGTCATCTATTGATTTCGGACCTTTTTGTTTGCTCATGTATTTGTGGTAATGTAATAGGTACACATAATTTAATAGGGCAATGCTATCCGTGCATCTCTTTTTATTTTTTTTATACATTTTTGTTACTTTTTATCATTTGCTTCAACATTTCAATTCAACGGTAAAAAATTAAGAAGAGTGAGTAAAAATAAAAGTGGTGTGGGGATAGCACCACCGAATCTAACATTAATTAGTTTTTACAAGTTTGAAATAAAAACTTATAATATATAAAAAATAAAAATAAAAATAAAAAAACCAGAAAGTTCAATTGAGTGGTTAGAGTTGTATTTTGTTGCTCAGCATTACGTTAGTGATGGGCAAAGGAAGGTTTAACCTAGTGGTTGCAACCTGCAAACAGTGATGGGGCAATCTGCAGGGTTGCAGTACTTTATTTAGTGATTGCAGTGCCTGACCACTGCCCTGTCACTACATATATTATACATGGATATTAGGATTTGGATCCTCTCATGAGCTAATGGAGAGGATCATCTTGACCAACTATTGTAAGCCGTTAAATTTTTATTTAACGGCTACAAACAGAATGATTATTTTAAAGTTATAATAATTATAACCGTTTGATGAAAATCCAACGACCCATAATGATTGGTCAGGAGAATCCTCTCCATTGGCTCAGGAGAGGATCCAAATCCTGGATATTAAATGGGGGAATTGGATCCTCTTCGAGGTCCTCCTAATCCACTACACGGACCGTTAGATTTTGATCTAACGATTACAATTATTAATTTTTAGAGGGATCCTCATGTTTGTAGCCGTTTAATCAAAATTCAACGACCCGTGTTATTGAGTCAGGAGGATCCCAAGGTTTTGCCTCGGAGAGGATCCAATTTCTTAAATGAGAACAAGTTTTTGTATAACAATTTTTAGGTTTTTGGCTTAAAAAGGTTATCGGGAATGTTACTGTGTCGGTAATTCGAATATGTCAAATATATGAGCTTTTATGACATAATTAAGAGTGTGCGATTGACTTGCTATAAAATGTTGTGGTGACTTCTTTCTGGTATAAAATTTCTTTCTTTTTATTTTGTTCATGTCAAAGAAGAATAATACATGGCTCCTCAAATTTGAAGAGAAGTTTCTCCAAAACACTTTGTGTTCGATTCATAGAACTTCGTGGTTATTATCGAAACAATTCATATAAACATCATCTATGAAAAAGAAAAAAAACTAATTAAAATTAAAGTTGTTTAGTTAATCAACTATAGTAAATAGATCAACGGTCATAATGCTTTAGTCAAATTTGTCCATTTGTTTTTAAACAATTCGATGGCCAAATGATTTCATATTTTTTTATTATTTTTTTTAAGAATCTTTATAAAATAATTTATAATATATATAATTTCGATCAAAAATATGCAATTTCGTGAATCAGTCTCAAAGTACCGTTGAGGATAAACTCAGCCTCATCAATTGATTTAATTAAAAAAAAAAGCCTCATCAATTGAGGAGAAGTGGTTAATTTCGTCAAAGAAAGTAGCCAATTGCCTTGTTATTTCTTGCTTTTAAGTCAGTGGGAGTCCTGTGACTGTTTGTGCTCATGTTTTGCTTAGAGAGAGAAGTTTTGGCGTTTGCAATTGTGACAAATCCCCGTGATATCTATCAGTCTTTTGACAGACCAATTTGGTTTTTCAATGTCAATTGGTCTGAAAAATGCAACAAATATTCAATAATTTATGAGAAAGGGATATTCTAACTCATTATAACAACCGAAAATGCGATTTGAACACGGGTGCAATGAAAGGGGCACGACGTTGATTAATTGATATAACTGATGTATAAAGTATTTTTAGAAAAAATATTTTTGGGTTTTAAAAGCGTTTAAAGTGAAGAAAGAATATAATTAATGCTTATTTCAAGAAGTATTTTAAATGTTTTTTTTTTGAGAATTTACTTGCATTTTTTTATTAAGAATTAATTTTAAAAGCATTTTTATCAGAAACGTTTTCAATTAGTTTAAAAGTACTTCCAAATAAACTTTAAGCAGTTGTGCAATGTTGTTCCGCACTCATCTGAGTGTTAGGCAAACAATGAACTATCCACAACACATGATGCATTATCACTTGCTCAGTTGCTCATCCCTTTTTCTTGAGAGCAATTTCTATGGCACCAAACGTTACAGTTATGATGTATTGTTTCGATAATGTTTTTGTTTTTCTCCTTAATATGGCACATATGAATTTTTTTTTGTCAAACGATAAATTTTGTTAGATTAGATGTTAAATTGGCTACTGACGGAATTTGAACCCACGTCGTCATATAAGAGCTCAACACTTTTCAACTACTGTGGTAAATGAGGACCACTTGCGGCATGTACGAATCTAAGGAAACTTCTTGTGCTGGAAATGTCGTGTAATAAGTAGGCTTTATGATGGTTTTTAAATAAAAAAAATTATGAAAAAAATTAGAAACTGTGAATTACGTGATTGTTAAGTTTTCGCATGATCTTTTGCAAGTGAAGTAAAAAAAAATATTAAAAAAAAAAACTTTCTCGTGAATTAAGTCATTGGAGGCAGTTTTATCATTTATTGAGTACCAAAAGCACTTCCTTGAGCTTGAAGCTAAAAAAAATTTCAATAAATAAGACTAATTAAGTAAAATTAATGAAAATGGTTTTAAAACTTTGAGTTTTAACGAAAATGACAAAAAGGTGTTGTAAGTGAATAGTATCAGAAGTGACTTTTTAAAGTAAAAATATCTTTAACGTTAAAAATGAACAGTACCAAAAGTATTTCGTTAAGATTCCTTAATTTTAACTTTTTATCAGAAGCATAAATGTACAAGGGCTTTCGACCAAAAAAAGGCTTGAGTTATTTGGGCTTTTAAGGCCCAATACAAATATTCAAACGGGCGAGCGAAACGGTACGTTTTGTTCCAATCTAGGGCTTTTGCAACACTTCTTCCCCTTTTTTCCTCCACCTAGGGTTTTAGCTCTTTCATCTCCCTCTGCGGAAAAGCAACCATGAGAGAGCTCAAGTTTCATGAGAAGAAGCTGCTGAAGAAAGTGAACTTCTTGGAATGGAAGAGAGAAGAAGGTCACAGAGAAACTCAGGTTCTGCAGCGTTACCATGTCACCGGTCGCGACGACTACAAAAAGTAAAATTACATTTTTTTTCCCTTAATTTCATGTTACTTTTCAGGTTTTATCTGTCGATTAACTGGGATTTGTTCCTTTCCAATTAAAATTTTGAAAAATTGGAAAATAGGTACTCGGGTTTGTGCCGGATGGTGCACAAGCTGGTGAACATATTGAAGCAGTTGAACCCGAACGATCCGTATCGGATCGAAATGACCGATATGCTCTTGGAAAAACTGTGAGTTATATTTTGTTTCTTCATGTGCTTCTCAAATTGTTGTGTTGTAGGAATTTGCAGTAATTTTTTTTGTTTTTTTGATGCTCATGTAGTTCAATTGATATGTCAGTTGAAAGTATTAATATTTCAAAGCTGCATAAGAAACCCATATGAAGTTATCAAATTTCGGTCAATTTGGTCCTAAATGGCATTTTGTGTTGCTCTATGGGTTATCGAGAAAAAAAAAGTAGTGATGATATCAATATTTAGAAATTTTAACTCCTCAAGTGTGGTCATTACTGTGAGACTTAAAGAGAAATGTTTGGGATGTATTGGTGATTCCGAAATTTAGAAATTTTAACCCCGAAGTGTGTTCATTATTGTGTTACATAAAGAGAGAAGTGTTGGGGATCTATTTAATGAGGATCTGGTTATAGATGACCCGAGTATTGTATGATCCGAACTCAATAGGTTTTTGCTTGTTTTCAATTGTGTTGTACAAGAATATGGTGATTTTAGGTCTAGCATCGTCTTATGTGCAAGGGAACCAATATATCTGTGGTTTTTACTTGTGATGAAGGGATCCAATATTTCTGTGGTTTTTAGTTGTGATTAATACTTAAAAAGGGTTTATGTTGACGACAGGTATAATATCGGTGTTATACCATCCAAGCAAAGCTTAGCATTATGTGAGCGCTTATCGGTGTCATCCCTTTGCAGGTAATTGCACTAGTTTATTGGAGTTTATCATGAGTGATGGTGGCTTACTGTCCACGAGGACAGTTAGGGAACAGAACACTTCCAAATATGTGTATGCATCTCGTCTTGTTTGTTACTTTACTGACAATGTCTGTGTTTGCAGACGTAGGCTTGCAACTGTGTTGGTTCGTCTGAAGTTTGCTGAGCACCTGAAAGAAGCTGTCACGTACATCGAGCAAGGGCACATTCGAGTTGGTCCGGAGACTGTTACCGACCCAGCATTCCTTGTGACAAGGAATATGGAAGATTTCATTACGTGGGTTGATTCATCGAAGATTAGGAGAAAGGTGTTGCAGTACAATGACAAGCTGGACGATTATGATGCGATGAACTAAGGTGTGTGAACTTTTAGAGCTTCTTTCGTCCCCTTTTTGTTGGTGGCCGGAAAAAGGGAAACCAATTCGTAATTTGCCTGGTTCATCGTGTATTAAACACCTCAGCGAGAGGGTTCTTCTTTTGTGCGCCCAATGTGGCATTTTTGTCTGAATTTTGGCAACGTTTTATCTTCGTGTTCAATATATACATATTTTTCGAGAAGAATTTCTGATTGAAATGGGTTGTAACTTGTAATTTTTGGCTATCGAGCTTCATCAATTATAACGGTTGAAAATTCAAAGGGGTGTGAAAAGTAAAAATAAGTGTCGATATTGGATAGCACTATCCAATTATGTATTTTTTCGATCTGCAAGAAAGTAACTTCACACACGAAACTCGAAATTTGAAGAGAAACTTGGCACTTGAGGTAAAATTGTTGCAGAACTGTAGAATTGTAGGGAGAAACATAAATTTAATAAAATCAGTAAATTGCAGATTTTAAGGAGAAAAATTGACTTTACTACCAAGAAGCCATACGTGTACAACAAACTCAGAAGAGACAGATATGTACGGAGTCTTGAAGATTCCGAACCCCATTTTCATGGGGTACGTAATTTTACAAGTAATACTAATTGCCTAAATTAAAAGAAAATCCCGCAGCCAACAACAGCAACACATTCGACGCCGGTAGTAAACCGAATCTTCAGCCTCGCCCCGCATCGATTGCTGCACGTACAAAGTCCTCACAGTTGGTAATGGCACCAGACAGCACATCCGCTAAAACACCGATTATGTCAAATGCCTCCTGCAAATCGCTCGCGGAACTCATCTCGTCAAGCCATGATAGCATTTCCTTCGAGAAATCCACCATCTCCTTTACGTTCGAAAGCCGCTCTTTCATCACTACCTCCCAAACTTCCAAGTCATCCCCTTCAGATACTCTCGATGTACCTTCTGTTGGGGCTGGTGCCGCATTTGGTGGTTTTTTGACCTTGAAGAAACGTTGCAACTGCTCAATCAAGCCAGTGTAGACAAGCATTGGTCGAATAACGGACAGAAGCTCATCGGCACCCCCAATCTCTGCACTAGGACTTTGGCTTGTATTACCAGACTCTATATTGACTATAGGAGATGAACTGGATGATGTGCGACCTGCTGACCGACCATGAGTGTGCTGCATGTAGGCATGGTATATTCCACGCTGCAAGAAGGCACGGCGGTGTTGCAACCAGGATTCATGAGACTCTGAAAGAAGTGAAGTCACCATCATAAACTGGACAGTTTCTTCAGATCCCATAGACGGTTGTTTCTCAGGAGTAGAAGTCCTAGAATCTGATGCAGACGATGACAAATATGCTGTCAGAGACTTGGCCATTGTATGACGCTGAGATGGGCTTCCCTGATCGAGAAGGTGACGTGCCATTTGGATCATGAAAGGTAGAAATCTGGAGTTGCTTTCCCTTCCACCACCTCTGCATTCTGCACTAAATGATGCCCCGGTCGCAAATCGAGCTAGCATCTACGTAACAGAACATCCATAATTATAAGGTGCAAATTCAAGATGCACAACGGAAAGGCTAAATAACAAGATAGAAGAAAAGTGTGAAGAAAATATGGTACCAGAACAATGTCATAAGTCAACAGCCGAAGGCGGCTTCCATCAGCACGTCCAAGAGCATTGAGGTTGTCCCAGTACTGGTCAACATAGCGAACATACTGCGCTAAAGGAACAGACGGACCTCTCACAGGGAACAAAGAATTGCAAAGAGATTCATTATTTCTGAGAGTAGCTCCTTCCCACTCCTTCTTTGGATTTTTCAGAGCAGCATCTGCTCTCTTGGCTTCCTGATGGCACTGGAAATGAATAATGTTGAAATAACTAACAGTTGTATAAACACACTCCCCACGTGCACTTCCAGAAGTCCCTGCACCTAAATTCACTCGCTTGCTATAAGAGTAAACACCAAGTAGGTCAGTAGGCCTCAGACTGTAACCCTCTCGGCAAACCATGCATGCTAAGCCATCCTCCTCCTCTTCCTCCACGTCTTCTAAACCTTCAAGTAATGGTCGTGAAACAACAATACGCTCACCGCCATCTGAAGCTAGCTCTTGTCGCATTCCAAGACCCTGAGTTTAGGGATAAGAAATGAACCATCAGTTTCACCACTAGTAATTAGTTATACTCATTTTCTCAATACTAATTACAGGAACGTCAAATAAGAAAATAAATGCAATAAGAACTAAATTATATCCTAATTCAACCATGAGAATCGTCTCTTACAATCTAGTAAATTTATATTGCTTTCACTCGCTGACCCTAAGGAAACCTGAACTCCTGTTTTAAGTAGAGAATAACTATTAGGTACCCTTATTTTCCATATCGAATTCTGTAACATGATAACAATCTACTTCAGTGGGCACCTGCTTTCATATAATTCAAAAATAAACTATAAAAAGAATTCTCAATAACTATATATAAAAAAAAAATGCTCAATGAATTACCTGAAGCAGTTCCTCTCTTTTCCTTAGAGCTCTACGCCTCATTTCATCCCTGGTGGCATGTCTCAACCTCCGCACCTTCTCCTCCAAAAAGCCATCTCCTTTTCCCTCCTTATTTGAAAGGGTGTCCAATAAGTTTTCAGCCCTCGCGCCTATCTCGTTTTCCCCCGCGACCCCTTCCAAAGCATGAAGTAAAGGTAAAATCCCTCCCTCATCAATACACTTTTGAGTGGCCAAATGTCCTGTCGACAAGCCTCTCAGCATAGACAATATCAGTGGGACAGATGGCAGTGTCAAGCCCATTGCCCATTCTGCACTAGATTTAAAGCCAGCCTGTCCCGCAGCTGAAAAACTATCCCTCAGATGTCTAACTGCAACGCCAGTAATGCCCCTCTCAAGAATAATGTCTTTCAGTCTATCTCCGCATGAACTTGTTTTAAGAGACTCAGATACCCTTACAAAATTTTCCAACGTAAACCTTTGCTTGGCAGCTTGCTGGGCAATGCTTTCATCTTTTGGGTCATCTTCATGTTCTCTTTGCAGCCGATCATATTCCTTCCAGTCCTGCAAGGGTGGGCTGAAGTGCTGGATAAGCGCTTCCATTGCAGCAGGTTCACCATATGTCAAGTAGGGCAAGATTCTTGCAACCATCTCATTGTTCCTCTGCTGTTTGTTTGATTTCTTAAGGCCCAAAGGATGAGATAATCTCTCCAGAAACATGAGGACTATTTTCTTGGCCTGTTCACCGGTCTCTTCACTAGTGACAGTAAGAGCACTTTGTGTGATGCTAATGTTATCACTTTCATTAGCTTCCATAGTCAGACTCTCAACAATGAGAAGTATGCCTTCAGCTGGCTCCATGGCATCAACAGAAAAGGCATGTCTTGCCGTTTCAAGGAGTAGACCTAAAGCTCCTAACCTCAGCAAAGCTCGTCTGTTCTCTCTTATTTTACAACAATGCATGAGGAGATTTAGAACAGCTACCAACTGCTCTTGGTTGGACTTGAAATCGTCTCGCAGATGCTGTAAATCATATTATAAGTCAGATAATTCAATAATAGGCAGCAAAAGGTTTCACTTCAAAAGAAAAGAAGGAATAATGAAATATGAAACACACCTGGATCATGCTCAATATAATTTCCAGCCCACCATACTCACGAACAGCACCTGCAATGGCAAACTCAACCTCTGGATCTTGTGACTCCTCTCTATCTTCTTCCAATTCTTTAATCATAGGCTCAGTTGCTTCACCATCTAAGCCCTGAAAATTGTATCCAAAAAGAGAATATATATGATCAAATGAATATCAAGGTTCGTAAGACGACCAAAAATAATAGAAAACGTCAATATTCATCCATTAGGAATAAATGATGTCAGGTTATATTTGGATGAACGCTTTTGAAATATGAGATTATTATTTCAATATCAATATCAAGTTGGCTGAAAGATTATAATGAGTATCTATATTTAGATTTTAGCAAAATTCATGGATGGATTCAAAATTTAGCTTCAAAATGAATTTAAAATGATTGGGTGAAGCATAACATCTCAAATCTATGATTTACATGATCTGTTAGAAACTATACATGATTTGATAGAGAAATAAATTTGCTTTTCTATGCAATTTAAATGTCAGTTTTGTTTGAACTTCATTTATGCAATGATGGAAGTGTGACCAAACATCATATATTGGTATGGAAATGGAGAGTCTAGCTGTACATGGGAAAGTTAGATGAGAACAGCTATAACAAACCTGAAGCCGATAGGTCACTATCATAGGTGGAGAGTCTCTAGCTGATGGAACAACATTGGGAGATAACAATGTCGTATTGGCCATGGCATTGGAAGACTGACTTGACTTCTTCCAGACTTGCTCATAGACTTGAGCTATGCTCAAATCAAGAGAGATAATGTTCCCAGCAACTAGTAATTCCATCCCATAGTCATCTTCAAGAAGACCTAGCAGATCCAACTGATGGCAAATTTTGTTCTTGACATCACGCATCAGAGGACCAATCTCAGAACTAGAATAGGGATTCTTTGTCATAGATCCCCTAATGAACTCTTCTTGTGTATGTGCCTTGTTTAGAACCAGCAGATACACTGGCTCTGGTTTTGATGGGCATATCAGATTGCAGAGCTGCTCCAGGATAAACTGTTCATATAGTTGAATGTTAGTGCTGGGACCTAAGTCAGTGAAAGCAAAACAAAGGAACCCCATGCATACGCATGCAAAAACAAAAACAAAAAAGTATGTGAAGAACACAAGCAAATATGAGAAGATGAGCCTTGTACAAACTATAAAGAACCCACGAAACAGTGACTTTTATCTAGACACAGCAAAAGTTTTACCATACTACAAACGTATAATTAGGTATCAGTATATTAGCATTTTGATGAGTTATTTTGATTAACCAGTCTAAAAGCATCATTTACAAAGCAGAGAATGCACGAAAGTAAGTTTATCAACCATACCAGACAAGTTCGTCCTTTTCTCTCCTCCACGTGGTTTTGCAAACCACAGATGCAGGCTCTAATGAACTGCCGTTTATTTTCGCTGCTTTCAAGCAGAAGGCTATCTAAAAGGTCTTTCAGAAGCCGATTGCAATCACTGATTAACTTTGTCTTCTGCACTACCAAGCCGTGAATAACAATAAGAGCCTCAAGAACTTCCGACAGCAAATTGTCTCGCATGAATCTGACATCAAGATGAACAAAATTTGTTAAGCTTAAGCATGAAAGTTTTTTCAAAGAATGGAATCAGTTAAGCACAAAATTTGAAATTAGTAAAGAAACCAGTCATA